AAGGAGCAAATACTCCACTAACTGGACTAGAACCCTTCTGCTTCCCAAGTGGAAACCGACTTAAAGCGGAACTCAAGAACCTGGAAGGCTCCATCCGTAACATATCTGTTGCTATTTCGGTGTTATTTCAAATTAACTGCATGTTACGTCGACAAAGATTTTTGGCACTTTTTTTTCATGAGTGAAAAAATCCTTTGAAATTTTGTATATGGCATAGTACCGGGTGGCCAACTAAGAATGGACGCCGGCTGTATCGCAGAAACTACTTATCGTATAACTTTGTGAAAAAAAATTCTAATAAGTAAATCGACCAAGAGAAATCGCTGGAAATTATTTTCAAGTTCGAAAAATGTCCGCTAGGGGGCGTTTCTCTGATAGCCAATCAGGAAACAGGATTTTTCTCAAAAATATGTAGATGAACAGGTATTTTAAATATTACTATTGTAATCATCGAGAAATTTTATAATTTTTTTGATATAGAGTATTTTGCTCTATCTCATAAAATAAAGTGATGGGGAAAGGTTAAACTTGCTTTTATTTAAATAAGAATAACTCTGGTTTGGGTTAGCCGATTTTAACAAACTAGGGCTCGTTTAAAAGAGCTTTTCTTCCTTAATGATCTCTAGTATAAATTTTGTTTCCATAAATTTTTTCGTTGTAGCTAGAGGGCGCTGTTTGATGTCATAACAGATTTTGCGTTTTTGCATAAAAAAATTAAATATGAGGCTATATTTATCTTTGCACAGTTAAATAGAGCACAACATTTTCAAAAAATCAGCGCAAACCGCAACTTTATATCTTCACTCTAACGGGAGATATTAAGAAAATAAATCATATTATGCTGTCGCTTAGGATTATACGGTCTGAAAATTATAGTAGTAGGCTAGGAAACAAAAAGAGGTAAATTGGTTACGTCAAAATATTAAAACATACATTTTAATTTCATTTTAATACCATTTAATTGTTATTCATCCATGTTCGTTCTTGATTCGACCCCATAAATTAAAACCCAGGCATATTGAATCCGATGACCTATAGCTGGTCATGGAAATATGCCGCTCCAGCATCTCTGTCTACTAAAGTAAGTGGTATCCATGAAGCCTCACACATTCATAGCAAAATAAGCGGCACAACTGCACCAACTGCATCAACTACACCAACTGCATTCATGCTGATGAAATTGCAACAAATGCAATTTCATCACAATGGATCCCCTAACAAAATTGGCAATTCATCTCTTAGAAATTATGGATATTTCATTTCATTCAGATAATTAAAAAGAAAATCATTCGCCATCCTAGAATTCCTTCCTAAACATTTACCGACTAATGGTCTTGGTGCTGAGCTACTTGCATCAAGGGTAGATTTGGACTATAGTAGTTCGTATTGTTAAGATTCGCATCTTCGTTCGGTGCTATATGAAAAGTGACCCAAGCGACATAAACTTTAATATAATAATAAATAACACAAACAACAAGTAAAACACGAAAACAAGTGAAATCAAGGACGAACATGGATTAATAACTAAATGACGTTACATTAAATAAACCCCTAGTTTTCGGCCATACGAAATTCGGCCGTTTTCTGTTAAAAGCAACCACCATATTGCTTTTAACAAAATTCCTAGAAATTTTATTAAAATTCTTGATTGTCCGACTTTTGGACATTTTAATCTGAGTGTTACGTATAATTAACCAGGAATTCGTAAAAATTTTATGAATGGACGATAATGTTACACAAACACGTTTAAAAATTTATGACGTCATTTTTTTAGGAAAACGCCCGAAATTCGGATTCATGAAAACTGAACTTAAACGTTTTGATATTTTGACGTAACCAATTTATCTCTTTTTGTTTCCTAGCCTACTACTATAATTTTTAGACCATATAATACTAAGCGGCAGCCTAACATGATTTGTTCACTTAATATCTGTGACAAATCTTTTCGGATTAATCACTTGTCTATGGGTAGCGTGACTATTTTATAATTTTTATAATTAAAATAATTTATTGAGCGGTAGGCAGAACTTGGATTAATGAGAGCACCGTCTTTTCAGAGCGTAAATATAGTTTATCGTTTACATATAAAAACAAAATATAACCAGTTAAAAATAGAAATTAAGGCATCGCACTTTTATGGTAAGGGCTCTTTCTAAATTCAGTTATTATAAACTCTATTGCCACTTACCTTATTACGTCAACATCCGTCAGCAATACATCAACAACAAGAACCTGTCGAAGATTTCATTGGTCCCCTTGTAGATTTACCTCTTCGGTCTTGGACTCATACTTTGGATTGAACCACTCGACCGGTTATCACAGTGTTCTTTTAAATAACTTAATATTTTAGTGATTCGGTAAAATAAAGAAATAAAATGCCGATTTTTCACAACACCTAACTATATTTAATATAAAGAAATAAATAAATAAAAAATAAAGAAAAAGATTTAACAACAAAACATTTATAATTAATAAAAAAGAAAGAAATTGAATCAAAAATAATTAATGACAATTAGAGAATTGAAATTAAAACTCAGAGATAATAAAGTTAAAAAAAATACAAAATATTCTTCCTATTAGTCCAATTTAAATTATCTACAATTAGCATACACTTTCGAAAATTAATATATTAAAAAAATATTCACTGAACAATTAAATTTAAATTAGAATTTAATAAAAAGAACAATTGCAAAATAATCACTTATGCAATGACATCTAAAATTTACTAAAGCCTTTAGAACAAACAGAAAGTCTTAAATCATTAATAAAGAAAAATATTAGAGAAAATCCAAAAACAACAATTAAAATACTTTAAGCATGAATAGTTTAGAATTTCCTAACTTGAGAATTTATTTGAGAAAATCTTTAGATAGAGAACTTACTAAAACAATTAAAAAGACCACTGGATAATATATATCTAAGATATAATAAGATCTACACGGAGTAAATTCGACCGTCTAATTTAAAAGTCAGTACCGAACTAATTTTGAAGATGAAAATACTGATGCTGGTATTATCTCGGAAAGGCGTTACTACATCTTCGGCACGCCCCTGTTTGAGGAACCTTCGAATACCCATCCAAATGCATATTTTGCACCTTTTTAATTGGCCGAAGGGTTCCTTCCCCGAAAGATCCCTAGACTTCTTTCACCCCTGTTTCTGATCCTTATCCCGAGAGGGCATCAGCATGTCCTATTTATTAATTAAATGTAATTTTTAAACCCTTCCGTGTAAATCTTACTCTTTTACCAATTTGCTGGATAATATTCATAATCCAAGCCTTAACTAATACAAATGATATCGTGCCATAGGATTACCTTAGAAAAAAAACCGCCTAGAAATTAACTCTTTATTTCTTCACATTTTTGTCTATTTCTATTTAACTCTAGGAACGGAAAAAAAGATAATCCTATTTCTATCATTTTCAGACATTCGTCTCGTGAACATTTGGATTCTGATTTTAAAACATATATTTAATACTTTTAATTTTCAATTTAAATCCTCTAGCGAGGGGATGATTTAATTTTACTTATTTCGTTAAGAATGCCTACGTGCTTTTTCTGCGTTGTTTATTTTGAGGTATCCCTAGGGTACACACACAACTGGTACCACTCTGTCAAATAGAGTTTTGATAATAAGGGATGAATGTTTGTTCTACTTTACCCTCGTTTATGTGACTTTAAATTATTTAGAAGATTGTATTATTTGCTTAGTTAGTTTCTCAGGATATATGCGTACTTTTAGAGAGTTTATGTGTCTTGAATATCATTAGATTATTTGCTTAGGCCTTTTAAAATTCGTTTGCCTATGTCAACTGATAACTTCGTAAACTGAAATGGTTCCATCTTAGAATAACAAACCAAAAGATAAAATTTTACCAAGCTTGATATTATTCTATTACATATCTCCGGTTAGAGAGAAGATAGAAAACTGCGGATTGCGCTGATTTTTTGGAAATTTTGTGCTCTATTTAACTGTGCAAAGAGAAATATAGCCTCCTATTTATTTTTATTCTGGAAGAGCGCAATATCTGTTATGATGTCAAACAGCGCCCTCTAGCTACCACGAAAAAAATCATGGAAACAAAATTAATACTGGAGATCATTAAAGAAGAAAAGCTCTTTTAAACGAGCCCTAGTTTGTTTAAATCGGCTAATCTAAATCAGAGTTATCCTTATTTTAATAAAAGCAAGTTTAAACCAAACCAAACCAAACCAAACCTTCCCCTACCACTTTATTTTATGAGATGGAGCAAAATACCTTATATCAAAAAAAATTACAAATTTCTCGATGATTACAATAGGTAGTAATATTTAAAACACCTGTTCACCTCCATATTTTTGAGAAAAATCCTGTTTTCTGATTGGCTATCAGAGAAACGCCCCCTAGCGGATATTTTTCAAACTTGAAAATAATTTCCAGCGATTTCTCTCGGTCGATTTACTTATTAGAATTCTTTTCCCAAAGTTATACGATAAGTAGTTTCTGAGATACAACCGGCGTCCATTCTTAGTTGGCCACCCGGTACATAATATGTAGATCTAATGCATGGTATTTATTTTAATCAAAATAATCAATATTCAAATTTTGTGCAATTTTTTTTGCAAAAACTACTATTCCAAAATACCTTCACTTCCTCTAGTCTTCTTGTAACTGCAATCGAGAGTAATCGTTGGAAATCTTTATTAGCCTACATAATGATAGAACACAAAATCACATTAATTCAAACGACTTTTTCTGTTGCTAATTGCAAACTGCTTGACGGCATGTGGCGATGTGTGGAACTACGTCACGAGTGGGCATCGCCGCTGCTCAGCGTCCCTACAAATTTTAAGAACTCATCTCGAAAACGCAAAAGATTTCGTTTTGAAATTTTAATGATACAATTATTATAATAAGTAGTAGGTATTCTAAAACTTTGAGAAAAACCGACAAACAAAATATGATTCAAAATACTAGACGCTCAAAAAAGGATTGCCAGGTATATTATGAAAACACAACTTATACTATCAACTTTATTTTTTAAGCTTTTTGTAGTAAAATGGAAAAAGTAAGCAATATAAATCAAATGTAAAATTGTACGTAACATAAATAGAATAACAATATAAATATTCATTTAGATTTTCTAGAAAGATAGCCTTATGGTAGAGAGTAAAAATATTAGCTTTGGTAATGGTTTAGGATACGAACCAATACTTATTTAATTTAGACTTTATTTTATAAAAAATATAATATTATGTATCACATTCTATATTAAACAATAAATGTGTAATTATATAATTTTATTTTAAAATTCATTAAACATAGAAAATTATAATTTTAAATATCAAAATGAGTGCGTTCAAAATTTAAATGTATAAAAAATATGAATAATATGTAAATAGAATACCGATATATTGAATATTGGTTTAATTTATTTCGAATATCATGAACATTTCCTCCATACAATATACAAAATACATCGAAATACTTTATTCTCACCTGAAGAATCGTCAAGAGATAATTATAATTAAATCTTCTTGTATTGACATCACGCTACGTCCCGACGCATCGCGTCGCTGGTTCAAACCTACTGTGGATGATGAGTGTACTGAACTATCAAATTCAAGCAGTCGCTGAAGATGATTGGTTAAATTATAGTTTTTTTACAAATAACTAAGAATACAAAGACTAATTATTCTGAATCTTCGATGAAATATTCTCTGGTTACATGCTATTCATTTTCACACTGGTTCGGAACTGGCACCACTATCAAAGCTATGCTCATGTTATTATATTTATTTTGTACTGCATATTACGGAATTTTTTTATATAGATCACCTATATTTTTCAATAAATATAAATTTGCATCATTTAGAGTAGATTATAAACTACAGAATTAAAATTATGACATAGTAAATACTAAATATCTAAACACTTTTGTATTATTCATGTTGTTGCCTATATTATTTATAACTATCAGTCCGATGGATTATTATTAGCAGTAAGAAGTTAAGTAAATCATTAGGTTATACACTAAATTGTAATTATGTCATCTTAAATATAATGTATATAATTTAGATAATGGTATTTATAATTTAATCCATTAAATACGACAATATTGAAATATATTATATATTGGATATTTTTCTATAAAATAACATTAAAAAGCTTTTGTTTTTTTAAATTGCGTGGTTTTTGAACCACATTAACTGGTAAAACACTCCATAGAGAAGTCTGGAATTTTGAAATTTTCATCATAATTTTGGAAAATTACAATCATTTTTTAATAAAATTTTCATTGAGACAAAACGGCACTAAACACATTATTAGCTCATTTTGTGGTACTGTTAATAAAATTTAACATGTTTTTAAAATATGCAACTATGTAATATTAGTCTATAATAAAATGTTCAGTTATTTGGTATTTGTTGGTTTAACATTGGGACACTTCTCGGTAGTAGCTCTTGCAAGGAGTAATACCTCTCTGTATCTTCCTTATCTACTGATGTAATGTGCTGGAAGCAACACGGTTGAGATATATGACTTTTTGGAGGTAGGATTGGAGGCTTTTCTTTCTTCTCCTTTTTCTTCTTCTTTTTACCTGAAAACATATATTTATTTAATAAAACATCAATTGCTAACTATGATTTTATTATAATAGGGATAGCATTTTAAAATAATATGTAAATATATTTGGTAAAATCTCTATTTATGGCTTAATATATAAAGAAATAATCATAGAAACTCCTAATCCTATGGAAATAACCAATTAAGAAGAAGAAGAACGAAATTTTTGTAAGAAAATTATGGGTATTTCGCAACTGAATATAATTTGTTCATGCCGATGTTTTTGGCTCACTATAATTTAGTGTGAAAAACGAAGACCGGTGTGATCAGTGGCAGCGACACATACAACAAATATTTGATGACGACACTTGAGATGCTCCAGAGAGACTATTGGCACATTATAAAACAAAATGTGGTCCAAGTATACTCAAGTCGGTTTACCCTTCCGACTTGAGTATACTTGGACCACATTTTGCTTTATAATCTATCAGTAGTACCTCTGGAGATTTCCGAGGCCATACAACAGACAAAAACAAACCAGACTCCACGAAAGTTATTGTTATTGTTCAAAAGTTAATATATATTAAGTTTTTCAAAAATAATCACAATTTTGTCAAAAACGTTGAAAAATGTGGGAATTTACCGAGTGCTTAACTATAACCGTGAATAACCTTTGAAGGAGTAGGTTTATCGAGCTCATTTTCAGTGCAGTTTATGAAAAAAAAAACGATGGAAAGCAAAATTACCTGGTTAAACTAAATAAAAGATATTTTGTTGACGAACTTTTAAAAAAAACCTGCTAATCCTAATCTCTGCTATTTATGTATTTTATAAAGTAGCTTGTCTTAAAGAACACCAAGAACGGGAAAGCAGCTGGACCGGACCACATCTACCCAGAATTGATAAAACTAATAAACGGAGACAATTTAAAGTTATTGGTAAACCTCTTCAATTCTGTATACAATACCGGAAACATACCGCAGGACTGGCTAAGGTCGACATTTATACCTATTCCTAAAAAACTGGTGCAAAAAGATGTGATGAGTTTCGTTTAATAAGTCTGATGAGTCAAGTCCTAAAGCTGTTTTTAAAGGTTCTGCATAATCGAATCCGAAGAAAATGTGAGCTAGACATAAGTGAACAGCAAATGGGATTTCACGAGGGACTGGGGACGAGAGAAGCCCTGTTTGCGCTATCGGTGCTTTTGCAGAAGTGCAGAGATCAACGAAAGGAGGTACATCTATGCTTCATAGACTACACGAATATATAGAGGAGGTATAGACGAATATATAGAGGAGGTGTGTACCTGTGTAGGTATGCTTCATAGACTACATTCAACTGCGTCAACCACAGGGAATTGCTGAGCATCCTTGAAAGAAGAGGCCTGGATACCCATGCACGATCTGAAAATTATCCAAAAGCTACACGAGCAACAAGTAGCGACAGTAAAACTACAGGACACTGAAACAACAGCAATACCTATCAAGCTTGGAGTTAGGCAAGGATGCGTATTGAGCCCTATGCTCTTCAATATGTACTCCGAACTAATATTTCGAAATGCGCTTGAGGGATCAGAAGACGGCATAAAAGTGAATGGCAGGCTGATTAACAACATGAGATATGCTGATGATACCGTCGTTATTGCAGACACCACTGAGGGCCTGCAAAGACTTCTTGATAGACTGTCCTCGGTGGGCGACTCAATGGGTCTCAGGATAAATACAAACAAAACAAAAGTCATGGTGATAAATAGAGATGCAAGACAAGCAACGGAGGTAGTCGTAGGTGGGACACCAATAGCAAGAGTCTCAAAGTGTATATATTTGGGCAGTTGGATTAGTGAAGACCTAAACCCAGACATTGAGATCAGAGCTCGAATTGAGATGGCTAGATCAAACTTCCTAAAATTGCGGAACCACCTGTGCGATAAACGTCTCAACATCCATATAAAAGACAACTTAGTCATCTGCTACGTACTTTCCACACTTCTCTACTGGGTTGAGTCGTGGACACTCAAAGTAAGCGCAATGAATAAGTTGGAAGTTTTTGAGATGTGGGTATATCGCAGAATGCTGAGAATACCATGGACTGACCGTGTCTCGAATGAACGAGTTCTAAACCAAATGAACAAGGACCGAGAACTCCTCGACATAATAAAAAAGAGGAAAGCCTATTTGGGCCATATCATGAGACATAGCAAGTATGAATTCCTTCAGCTCAGCATCGAGGGTAAAATTGAGGGAAAGCGCGGACCCGGACGACGGCAATGCTCCTGGCTGAAGAACATCAGAGATTGGACAGGCCTGGACTCACATACTTTGCTGAGAAGAGCGAAAAATAGAGAGGAATTTGTCATGGTTGTTGCCGATCTTCACTGAATGGAGAAGGCACTTTAAGAAGAAGAAGAAGCTTGTCTACGAAGCTCCCTTTGAAAAATTACCCAGGATTTTTTCAAGAAATTACTCCCCATCTCAAAAGTTGAGGCATTATTTGTTACCTACATGTTTTCGTTTCAATATTATCTGTCGATTTCTAATGAAAGTACTGATTCACGAAACTGATGATCGTTAGGCGTAAATGTTAAAGATTAAAGTAATTTATATGTTCACTAGTTGAAGCCTAGCGCATCCGCCACGACATCAGGAAAAATACTTTTTATTTTTTGTTTAATTAAATGAAAAACAAAACAAAAATCCGGCGACGACAGTTTTTAGAAGAGCCAAGTAACTATCTTTTAGTAAAAAAGCAACTTTCTAGAGCAAGTCGTTACTTCAGTAGAGACGACAGAGATAAACATTAGCATTTTATATACAGTGTATGTAGATGTTCAAACGCAGTGATGCCAGATTGATTTGAAGGAAATTCGTAAGATTGGATGCATTATTTGATATTAGAACATTTAATAAGCTAGTAAGCTAGTAAGCTAATAAGCTAATAAGCAGTATTTTTTAATTGGTAAAACATTTAAAACCTATAAAAATCCGTAAGATACTGCGCACGTATCGCGAAATCGTGAAATTTGATACAAAATCGTGAGATATCACGATAAATCGTGAGATCTGGCATCCTTGTTCAAACGTGTTACTAAAAGAGGGAGAAATGCGAAAGACAGAGCAAGTACACCGTACGTAATTAGGGTTTCCCGAGGGGTTTCCGAAACCGGAGCTATTTTTCGGAACCGGGAATTTCGGTACTGTGACTCTTCGGAACTGGGATTTCCCGTTTTTTTCGGTACTGACTAATTTTTGTTCAATGGTGGTGCAGTTCATCAATCATAAAGCAAGGGATGATTTTTCAAAGTAAAATTCATGAAAAATTGTGATTTTTAATGAAAATAATATCAATTAAATTATTGAGTAAAGAAAAAAGTATAGGTAACTTAAATTTCACATCAACCAATATAAACCAACTTAACTGAATTTGAGACAAAAGCCCTAAAATATTGAATTAAAAATGCAAATATCTATTAAAACATAAGAGAAAAGAGAAAAGAAGCAAGAACAATAACAACATTATTACTTGTTTAGAAGAGTTTGATTTCGACCGCTAGAAAGTACCTATCAAAGGACTTTCTCACGTAACAAAAAAATAATTTTTTAATTATTGGTACCGAGGCCTGGTTCTGCGATGGCCAAAAAGATCTGAACCCTAATTGGTAGTATCAATTAGAGTGTCCAGAATCGTACTAAAATATTTTCGTTCAACTATTGCGGAGTTCGTCAATTAGCAAGCAAGGGATGGTTCTCAAAAGTAAAACCGATAAAAAATTGAGTTTCAAATGAAAATAATATCAAATTATCAAGTTATGAGAAAGTAAACATGAACACAACCGAAAAAAAAAGAAAACACATAGGTAGCTTAAAAATTATATCAAACAACATCAATCAACCTCGAAACCAAATTAACTAAATTAGAAAAAAAAACTTAACATTTTCAATTAAAGATGCAAATGCCTATAAAAACTTAACACAAAAAATATAACTAATACATTCAGTAATATTATACTAAATAATAAAATAACATATTTAAAGTTCAATAATTTACTAATAAACATTATAGAAACTATAAAATAACTTCAGAAGTAAGAACAGTGCATCATTACTTATTTAGAAGAGTTTGATTTAGACCGCTAGAAAGTATTAAAAGTCTTTCGCACATAACAAAAAATATGTTTTTAATTATTATTACCGAGTCCCGAATGTACCGAAAGAACCGAGAATTAATAATTTCGAGTCCCGGTTCTTTGATGTCTCAAAAGAACCGAGAATTCCCGGAACTTTCGGTACCGGGATTTCCCGGTTCTGAACCCTATACGTAATTGAAAAGACTTTTGAGAAACGGTCCGATTATGGAGGTAACGTCTGAGTATAACGGGTATTAAGATATTCTTTGGAATAACGTTCCGACTACTGGGGTGTTCCGATTAAAGAGGTTGCACTATAATAACTTGTGTTTAAGATTACCTGGCGTTGATAACGATATATTTTCAGGACATGCTACTAATTGTTCGATATGGCTCCACATCGCTTGAGCTGCGACCGTTGTGTCGAAACTGAAGCCAACTTCCATTGTGTGGTCGTTCGAGTATCTCATGGTGTGAAATGAAGGACTCTCCACTTTGTACGATGATAAATTGTCGATTTTATCCGACCATAACATAAAACAGGTCCCTAAAAGAGGAAATTATTAGAGATCTAGTCTTATACAGGGTGGCGCCTCTCATACGCCGCCGAGGCTCCATGGAGACCGACATCGACAGTTTGTATTGAAATGAAATTTTGTGAGCATATGTAGGTTAATTCAGAGCACTTTTCAAAAATATAGAGAGTTCTACAGGGTGTCCCCAAAAAAAGTTACATATCAAAGTTGTTTTTTTTTTGTAATGGAACACCCTATATATTAATTGATTTTCGGATTCTGGAAAAAAATAAAGCTGAGTTTTATAAGAGAAGTATATGACTAAAATGTAAGGTTTTTGACATATTTAACATTTTCTAGAAATAAAGAACAATTTTTTAAATTAAAATAAAAGCTACCTAAATTGGAATTTACCCGGTATAGCCTAATATTTAGTTAAATTAACTATTTTACTTTAAATCAAATTAAAACTTGATCCAAAAAGTTATACAGGGTGAGACAAAACTAATATTGAACATTGGTGACCTTTAAAAGCATGTTACTCTTTTATTTTTAAATGGAACACCCAGTATATTATTTCGATATTCAATGGAGAATTCATGTCTCTTCAAAATACTATTAAGATTGCAACAAATGAAGATTTTCCTCGATATTTTTATTTACATGATTTGATCTGGGTAGATCTTTGTTATTTGATAAAATCTAGGGTGGCTGTCATATATCTGACGTTACTTCAACATAACTGTCTAATTAAATTAGTCCAACTTTAACAACTAGTTATAATTTTGTGTCAGTTAAAATTAAAAAAAAATGCTCAGAAATTTGCCGAAAATGCAAACTTATCCTACATCAGAGAGAATTAAACTTAGAGGAATTAAACGATTCTATTAGTTGGTGAATGCAGTGTGCATTCATCGATTAATAGAATACTTAAATGCCCCTGATTTTATCTAGTTTGGTTTTTTATGGGGATATATTAAAGACAGTGTTTACAAAACTCGACCAACTATTGTCGACAACATGAGAGCAATTATTGTAGCTGTTTGGTTAGGTTAGAAGGTAGAACTTTACATATGCCTTTTAAAATGAAAAAATCCTTTTGAAAAGACATCATTTTATGCAGTTAAGACGAAAGGAATCATTTTGAGCATTCGATTTCATCTAACTAATTTTTGTCACATAATTATAGATTTATATCTAGGTCTAATTCTGTAATAATTAAAATCTGTTTTAAACGTGTATCTTTTTATTACCGTTGAGTGTTTGAGTAAACACAAGATTGTAGAGTTACAATCTTTAATTTTTGTTAAATTAACAAAAGGTATATCACAGCCGCCCCTAGATTTTTTCAAATAATAAAGATCTACTGAGGCAAAATCATAAAAATTAAAATACCTAGAAAAATATTTGTCTGAGGAGTAGGCAACCTTAATAATATTTAAGGCTTTTTTTAAATTTATTTTTAAGATATATAGATTCCCCATTGAACACTGGAATAATATACTGGGTGTTACCTTTAAAATAAAGGAGTAAATTGCTTTTAAAAGTGACTAATGTTCCATTTTAATTTTGTCTCACCCTGTATAACTTTTTGGGTCAAATTTTAGTTTGGTTTAACATACTTATAATGGTTACAACTAAAATTTAGGTAGCTGTTATGGAAATTTAAAATTTACTCTTCATTTTCACAAAATGTGAAATATGTCAAAATCCTTAGATTTTAGGTATATGCTTCTTTAATAAAACTCACCTTTATTTTCTTCCTAGAATCCGAAAATCAATAATTAATATATAGGGTGTTCCATTAAAAAAAACACAACTTTGATGTGTTATTTTTTGGCGGAACATCCTGTATAATTCTATATATTTTTATAAAATGCTTTCAGTTAACCTATATATGCTGCCAAAATTTCACTTCGATATAAACTACCGTTCTCCTTGAAGCTTCCGCGGCGTATGAGAGGCGCCACCCTGTATAGCAGCTCAAGGCAAGAATTTTGTATTTAGTAAAGTAATTTTATTTAGATATATTAAATAGTTTTTTAGAAAAAAAGAAGACTTTCCTTGAGAAAAAGACTCCCTTTAGCTACGAAACAAAGCAGAATCGGACCTATTTGATATGAAAAATAAATCTTATTTTTATGTGAGGAATCTCCCCACGAGAGATGGTACATGTTTCTTGAAGCACCATGTATACATGCAACGATTATTACAACCCATGTTCTATAAAATCTGCTTCAAAAAAAAGAACTTAATATGCGAACACAAAGATTTAAACTACATTTTGGTGAGAACTAATAAACAAAGGAAGGAATAAGGTTAATTAAAATGATTATTTTTATTGTAACGTTGTTTTACCTACGTACTAAATAATTTCTGCACAATTTAACTTAATGTTTGTTTTGTTTTGTTTGTATAATTATCACATCGACACAGAAACCTAATTTCGCAGGTTCTATTTTATAGTTTGTTTTAACATAATAATATTAATTCAGTTTATAGAGTTATTGTTAGTTTTTTTCTATTAAAACATTTTTTAATAATTATTTATTAAAAATATACATAATTTAATACTTTACTTGGAATGTGGTAGACCATGATTCAATATTAAAACCAAAATCTCTACTACTCTGTCTACTACTCTGCAAAATCCCTAGATGATATTTTGATATTATATCCAATTGGAATTCTTTTGGATCCAATCTTTTTGGAAAGGTGCTACAGGGTAGGCTCAGGGACAGTATTGGTGACAAAATCTCGGAAGACCAAAGCGGATTCACACCGGGGAAATCTTGCACAGATAACCTTTTTGTCCTGCAGCAGGTGATGGAAAAAAAGATAGCAGTAGATCAAGAAGTCCATCTAGCATTTATTGATTTGGAGAGAAAGCGTACGACTCTATTCCCCGCAGCAAGATATGGGAAGTATTGAATATCTTAGAAGTAGATAGACCTTTGCTTAAGATAATAAAATAGCTATATAAAGAAAATGAATCGTACGTTAAGATAGGACACAGGCTATCTAATCCAATTAACACCACAAAAGGGTTGCGACAAGGATGCAGCTTATCTCCTCTGATCTTCAACGCTTACGTCGAATTAGCCCTTAGGGAATGGAAGACGAAATATCAAGGTATGGGAATACCCATTGGGGACAACACACTATTTACCCTGAGCTTTGCAGACGATCAGGTCGTGATTGCGCAGGACTCATACGATCTAGAGTTCATGACTAAGAGGCTTTATCAAGTATACAACAAATGGGGACTTCAGGTTAGTCTAAAGAAGACCGAATACTTAGCTGTCAATTCCAACACTTGTTTTGAAGTCTTCATTAATGATAACGTCCAGATTCAACAAGTAGACAAATTTAAATACCTGGGTGCTACTATCAACAACGAGGGTTTGGGCAAAGAAGAAATACAAACCCGAATTCAGAAGAGCAAACAAGTTATTGGATGTCTTAACAGCCTCTGGTGGGACCGAAACTTATCTGCAACAACTAAAAAGAGACTTGGAAGAACATTGGTGGAGTCAGTTCTTTGCTATGGTTCAGAGCTGAGTGCAGACGCGAAGCGCAAAATCCAAGTTGTTGAAATGGACTACCTTAGAAGAAGTGCAGGTATATCTAGGATGGAAAAAAAGACAAACATCGAGGTCAGGCGTATCATGAATGCATCGGAGGAGACAGTACTGGATCGAATCGAAAAATCCAGCTTAAAATGGTTTGGACACAGCCTCTGCGTATGCCGGAGAACAAGTGGCCAAAAAGAGTTTTTCAATGGGCTCCCCAGGGCAGAAGAAAGAGAGGTAGACCTAGAAAATCCTGGAACGGAAGGGTTACGGAAGCTGGAAGCTCGTAACCTAGAAGCTGATGACGCTCTAAATCGAGATGTGTGGCGTAGGGTAACTTGGGAAGGCAGCAATAGGCTGTAGTTGGATATGAGTATTAAATACTTAAACCCAAATCCCGTTTATATATATATATATATATATATATATATATATATATATATATATATATATATATATATATATATATATATATATATATATATATATATATATATATATATATATATATATATATATATATATATATATATATATATATATATATATATATATATATATATATATATATGCACTGTCTCTTTAAAAATTGTGACGACTTTATTGATAGTTTTGTGTTATGTGTGTGGAAACCAATTTGGATATATTTTCTTCGCTAAGGTAGGCTTTTTATATATTTTTTTCTCTCATGCCACCTTATAAAAATAGATTTCAGAAAGAAAATGATAAGTTGTAATAAGTAAACAATCTACGTTCAAGGTAACAAAATAGAATTTTTATATATATATTACTATTATTTTTAATTAGTACGTTCATAATGTGACTATAAAATTTTTTTTTAGTAATAAATTTTGATAAAGACCCTACCAGGTCGAAACGTCATGAAATATTTAATATAAAAAAACCGTTTTTCTCATTTTTACCTGACCTAAAGCCAAGAAAAAATTAAATAAAATATATATATATATATATATATATATATATATATATATATATATATATATATATATATATATATTTATTTAATTTTTCTTGGCTTTAGGTTTAATATATATATATATATATATATATATATATATATATATATATATATATATATATATATATATATATATATATATATATATAAACCTAAAGCCAAGAAAAAATTAAATAATATATATATATATATATATATATATATATATATATATATATATATATATATATCCAATTGCAAGTCTGCGACTTATTGGTGCGCCAGCCTGAGGAGGATGCTCTTTCTCTTTTGACGATATGTGAAAGGTACATTGGAGAAGATCAGGTGAATAGCTAAGCAGTATAAAATTAAAACTGTTTTTAAGTCTGGGACTACTCTAAGAAGTGTCCTAACAAAAACAAAACCTGAATCATCAAACCAAGAGAAGGAGTGCATCTACCAGGTACCTTGCGAGTGCGGTGAGTCGTATATTGGAGAGACA